GAGTGTGTGCGCTTTTAGAAATTAAAGCTATAAGGATTCATAAGAAAACCACAATCAAGAGGAAATCCATGAAAAGCTTTTTTTTCCTCTTCTTGTGTGCATGTGAAAGGAAAAACAGAGGCATCAAGTCTCCAGTAAATGAAGCACAAATCCCATGTCATAATTTGTGTTATAATAAGAAGTATCAGTTCCCTAGTGAAGAATACAAACACGTGGGAATGATCTCAAAAATTGTTAAGGCTCACCAGAAATTCCCAAAACTTTGAAGTTTACATGCTACATATAATAGATCTATAACTGGCCTCCAAATATATTAAACAAGCTGGTGTAATCTATCATGAATTATTTCATTTAGTTGATGGTGATATATCCTTGTTGATTCAATAGCTTTCCTCAATTCTCAAAGTTTTACCGGTAAATCCCATCAGCATACTGCGAAGGAGCATGCAGAAACATCACCTAGCATGTGGTACGCTAGTGTACGGAAGCATTTAAATGTAGTTAAGAATATCAGTCAATGTTTAATCTCAATTTGGCCTCCAAATTCTACAGTTTAGTTTTAGAGGTATGAAAATTTTAAGAATTGTTAAGAGCATCAGTCAAAGATCTCCCAAATTTTACCTAGCCATCTCAGCTCGCCTCTTCGCCTGCTCAGCAATCTCAGACAACTCTCTGTTCTTGTCATTGAAGAGGCCAGAATTATCACCCTTGTGAAGCCCGTGAAGCGTTCTCTGAGCAAGAGCCCACTGCGCCTCCCTTTGCTCTTTTCCGTAATCCTTCTTTGTTGTGAATGCCGTCTGCATTTTCCAATTCCATTTGAGAAACAGAAGACACTAACTTAGCGAAAATAAATGTCACAAGAATCAACAATGACCTTGTTCTCGAGGAGTCTTCGCCAAGCTTTCCCGCTCAGACTGTAGCGGATCATGAACTTAAGGATATCAAGTGGAATGTAGAAGACGATGCTATAGAGCCATATGACTCCTGCCCATCCCCATCCACAACCTTCAATGCGAGCAAAGCCCCAGTGTGCATATACTGCAATAATTGTAGCCACCTGCACAAATAAATAAAAAGATCATAATCTGATAGAAATCATAAAAAGTTATTCAATGGCAATTTTTTTCGCTTGAACTATTACTACCAGTTGTGCAGCTGCGAAGGCACCAAGAAGCAAAAGACCGGGGCGCTCAACATAGGACCAACTCCTTGCTCGAGTGACAAAGATAAGAGCTTGGCTCACTATGCTAACTTGAAGATACAAAGCTGCAATAAGCTGCTCATCCTCTTCTCTAATCGATCTTACTCCAAATTTGTCCTGCAAGAAAAAAGATTTAGGAATTATTGTTGAAGACATCAAACTTAATACTTGAACTATACGAGGAGCTCGAAAATTCCTACATTTGGATTCTGCAGGTTAGGCAAAATCCTAGGACAAAAATCGTGACACACTATTTCTATGGTCTACCATACCATATATGCTGCAAATTGTTAAGATACCAAGATATTTTCCTATGCTTGCAGAAATAATAGCAATGAAGCTACGGTTCCTCTATAGGATCACTCACCGAGAAGAAGTCAGTATCCCGTGCAAGCCAGAAGAAAATTACTGTCATAACGGCGAGGTAAGTACCCAGAACAACACCAGTAGCAAAAATCTCCTTTAGCTTCCATGAGTCTGGAACTGGTGAAGGTTTCACTCGATCTTTCGAAATAGTCATAATAGTCCCATCATTTAGGATAGCAATGATAAGAACCATGAATGGAGAGAAATCAAACTTCCAGATAAGTGCAATTAGCAAGAATCCCAGAACGACTCGAATGGTGATGGAGACGGCATAGATTGTGTAATTCTTCATCCTCTGGAAGATTGCACGGCTAGTGAGCACGGCATGAACTATGACACCGAGTCCAGGCTCGGTCAGAACAATGTCAGATGCACCACGAGCAGCATCGGTGGCATCAGCCACAGCTATGCCAATGTCGGCTTTCTTGAGGGCAGGGGCGTCATTCACACCATCACCAGTCATGCCACAGATGTGCTTTCTATCCTGGAGGCGCTTCACGATTTCGTATTTGTGCTCTGCAAATTTTGGTTTTTTTTTAATATTGATATATGAATTACCATGTAACTTGCACCAGTAAGCATATAATTCCAAATTTACTTTACTATCCACTTAATGATGTGTGTAGATAACTCACAAATAAGGTCTTCCAATTTTTACAATGCGATGATGAACATAGAAGAGCAGCTTAATAATACCTCAGCCGCAGGTATTTGGGCAATGAGTACTGCTCCTATTTTCTCTCAAATATTAAAAAAAAAAAGCACTGACTACTATTTTTAGGTACGTTGGCAACAAGAATAGACCAATGATAAATGCCAAATGAGGTATTTTTAAGTATTGTGACAAAATATGAAAACCTTACAAGGATGACTCTGCGAAAGCCCACACGAAGAATTGTGTATTATCAACTTTTAGACGCTCAAATTTCAGAAGGAAAAACAAAGGTGTTCAGAATGGGGAAAGCATTAGCACACATGAAGGGAATCACGGGGTATTTCCTTAAACTTTTCCTAGGGGAATAACTGAGTATGTGCATTTGAATAGACCGCAAGTAGGATAAAGAAATTAGAAAAATTATTTTCTTCAGTTAAAAGGTAAAACTTCAACGTACAATTCAACCGCTGCATTCTTGATTTAATAACGAGTAAAGTATGCACCTTACGAAAAATCTACACTGTGAAGAACCTAGTAGAACGTAATGTTTCTTCTGTAACCTCAAAATCTTCAGTATAAGAAAAATCAAAGCCAGTATATTACCTGGGAAGACTCCAGCGAAACCATCAGCCTTCTCGATAAGCTCATCAATTGGAATACCGGTAACGTCATTGTTCTTCTCACCGAGGAGGGCGGAGGAAGGGTACATGTTGGTCCCCATACCAAGCCTCCTTCCTGTTTCCTTCCCAATGGCGAGCTGATCTCCCGTGATCATCTTCACATTGACTCCAAGGTTGAGGGCCTGGCGAATGGTCTCAGCGCTGTCGTGCCTTGGGGGATCGAACAGAGGAAGAATCCCAATGAACTGCCACGGCTTGCCTGCAGACTCCTTGTTTCCCTCTGGCACCTCTTGTCTAGCAACACCCAGCGACCGGAGGCCTCGGTCAGCAAACTTCTCGATGATGACATGGGCTTTCTTTTTGACGTCCTCCCTCAAGTTGCAGAGTTCAATGATCTGGCACAAGCAGTTGATGTTGCAAATCAAATGCCCGAAAGCTAGACAACCGGGTTAATTGTGGACAGACCCCCGTCACCGAATTGGAAGGGAAAACCAATTTCTTGTTGAAAGGTATGTTGTTGTTTAGTAAAACTTTCTATAAACCCCGTAGGAGTTCTATTGTTACGGGTAGACCCCTCGAAAGAGCTCTGTTGTTGTAGGTAGAACCCCTGAGTGAAAATCTAATGTTTTGGACATATCGACCCTCTGAGAAGGGTCAAAAAAATTTCACTCGGGGTGTCTGTATGCAACAATAGAACTACAGGGGTAGGTTCAATTTCGCGATAGTATCGTCATAGATCAATGCATGACTAGGCAAGCCAGTATTCTTTTACCTGCTCAGGAGCACCTTTGCTAGCCCGGTGCCAGTTACCAGAGGGATCGATGTATGTGATGGCTGTGCGCTTCTCCACCGGATTGAACGGCAGGAAATGGACCTCTTGAATGCCAGCACGGGCCTGTGCATATAAATACGAAATTAATATAACCCTAAATAACTTGTCGAACGTACGAAGATAAATGATGGTAGTGATCGAGGTTTACCTCCTTGGGGTCTGCTAGCATGCCCACAATGCAGGCATCAATCGCATCTTGATTTTCGACCCTGGAAGCCCTTGCTGCATACAGAATCACCATATCTTTATCCATGTCCTTTACAAACACCTGGCGCATGATGATAAAAAAACATGCATAAAACAGTGAGTACCAGCTAGCGCCAGGAACAGTTTGGCAGAAACATTTGGTGTTTGTTATGTGCACGAGTACCTCGATCATGTTTCTGTCGACGGTGAGCTTGTTGAGGGTGAGGGTCCCGGTTTTATCGCTGCATAGCACGTCCATTCCGGCCATCTCCTCAATCGCGGTCATCCTCTTCGTGATGGCCCCTTGCTCTGACAGCCTGTGTGACCCAATAGCCATCGTCACCGATAACACGGTGGGCATGGCGATCGGAATTCCTCCGATGAGCAGCACGAGGAGGTTATCGATTCCGTCCCTGTACTTCCGGTGCTGGATCGGGTACATCACCACAATCTCCACCAGCATTCCCACCGCAATGGAGCAGATGCAGAAATTACCAATGGCCGTGAGCACCTGCACAACATCAAGAAACAGCACCATATAACTCGATTGAGTATCGACACAGCAAACAACGTTTTATGATTCACTTCACGGGCAACAAATATCACGGGATGCGTCAGTCACGACATAAAATCAACGTTGGAACGAGGAGGACAACCTGCTGGAAGTGGCCGACGTTGTTGGTGCTGTCGACGAGGTGAGCGGCCTTGCCGAAGAAAGTGTGGACCCCGGTGGCGATGACGACCGCCTCGATCTCCCCCTGCTTGCACGTGGACCCCGAGAACACCTCCTCCCCGGGGTTCTTGGTGACAGGCAGAGACTCCCCGGTGAGCGCAGACTGGTCGATCTTGAGGGGGTCCCCCTCAAGGAGCCGAGCGTCCGCGGGCACGATGTCGCCAAGCTTGATGCTGATGATGTCCCCGGGGACGAGGATGGCCGCGTCCTGCTCGGACCACCTCCCGTCCCTGAGCACCTTTGTCTTGGGGGCGAGGCCGGCCATGAGGGCGGCGGCGGCGTGCCATCACGGCCGCGATCTCCATCACCCACGACAGAGGGTTCCACATGAAGCCCAGGAACTTGAGGAACTTGCTCTCCTGTTGATCAAAAAAAATAAAATAAAATTAGCCAACATTAATCGATAAATGATGTGCAGGGTTTGATGATGGTTCTGACGGCAAACTAAGGCACCTCCTTCTCTTCGAGTTTGTTGGGGCCGAAGATCTGGAGGCGCTGCTCGCCATCGCTGGTGCTGAGTCCTTCCTTCGAGCACTTCAGTTGTTGGAACACCTCCTCCAACGGAATCCTCTCCTGAATACCCCCCGGGCCCAAAAAAATAAAAAACAAAAAAAAAATAAGGAAAAAAAAAGCTTTTTTTTAAAATAAAAAAAACAACAAGAATTAATTCAAGAAGAGGAGGAGGGGGGGATGCAGGATGCTGACGAGATCGACGTTCTCATTCTTGATGTTCTCCAGAGAGATGGCGGCCATCTCGTGATGCGGCGGC